ACTGTGGCCTTTGACTCTAATGTGAACTTTTTTTGTAAGAGCCAGTGATGATGGTACTATCACTCGCTATACTAACCAGTACTTATGAAAGACTTGTTCATGTTCTGATTGTCTCTATCTGCTGTGAGAAATATCTATTTGACTTTTCACATGGTTCAGAGTGGAAAGAAAGGAAGAGAATTTGATTTTATCCAACTGTTTTCAGTAGTTTGCTTTTAAGTTAGCTTAGGTCATGAATAAAGTAGATTTGTGGGATTTTAGGGGACACTTGCTAAAAAAGTAAAAAAATAGTATTGATTCAAGTACATTTTACAAGCTACTTCCAACAACTATTTGCATTGCAACACACATCTGGAGTACGTTGTTTGTGTTAATAAGCAGTCCAGACACAGAAAAGTGAATTATTTCCAAAGTCACAGAATTAGTCATAAATGGGAGAGAGATAAACAAATTAGATTAATGTTTAACGTTGATATTACTCCATTCAAGTCAATGGAGTTATACCAAGGATGAGTCCAACACAAAAATTTAAAACTCTAGTCACAGAGGTGGTTAGCCTTTTTAGTCTGCAGTAGGCAAGAATAAGGTAAGTCAAGCAGATAACATGAAATATAGAAAGATCCATTACTGACTTTGCTTTGTGGCTGGGTCTCTAAGGGTATGTCTATATGTGCAATTAATGCAACTGAAAGAACTCTGGTGCAGTTTGAGCTAGTGGAAACTAATCTAACTGTCTACACATGTGTTTAAGAGCAGTAATTTACTCTGTCATCAGATAGTACTTGTGTCTGATGGGACTATCTGATGGTGCAGTAAATGAGTCTACACCAACCTAATTGCCACATATGTGTATACACTGATGCTTTACTGCACAGCAAATTAGTCTACTATGCAGTAAAGCACACATGTAGATGGGCCCTGACTAGATTAGTCTGGTGACACCTTAGAGTAACTGGCTCAGAGAGTCATGGCTTTTGTAAGTGACAACCTACCTCATCAGGTGCTATGCAAATAGAAAGTATAGCATTTGATGAAGTAAACTATTGCCTACAAAAGCTCATGCCCTTCAGTTACTCTCTGAGGTGTCACCAAACTGTACTCTGAGACCCAGTCACAAAGTAACTAAAGACAATAATGTAACTCTCTCCATTGCATGTTACCTGCCTGAACAACATGTCCTGAATAACTGGATAGGAGATTACATTCTATTATAATCTTTCTATTATATTTTTTAACCAAATGAAGGAGCAAATTATGGCATTTGTTCTATTAGGATCAATTCAGCTAAGGGGCCTAACTCCGAAGACCTTGTCAGACAAGTCTCACTGATGAAATATCTGTCTGATCCACATTCAGGCAGATTTTCACAAATGACTATCTAGATTAAAGTCAGGTCTGCCTGCAATGGTTTATATATTAATCTCTTTTGCTATACAGCAGAGTTTGTTTTGAAGTATTTATCAAATTAAATACGGATAATAGCAAAATGTTAATTACTTTTTTAATCAGGATTCACTGTGAGTTCTGCTTAGAAATAGATCACATAAGCACTATGAATAATAATAATACATTCCACTGCTACTGATTCTACATAGAAGGAAAGTCCTTGGTGCCTTCAATCATGTAAGCCTTAATCTGTCTTTAAATAAAGAAATTGCAATGTAAAAGAGAGGAAAGCATCTGGGAAAGATTCTTGAAAGTACTTTTGAATTCAGACAAAATCAGTCACCTTTAAAAGTTGTTGCAGTTTGAGGTAACATAACTTCCAGTACAAATGACATTCCAGAAGGAAGCTAAGTGTTATGCTGGAGATCTATATAGCAATATGCATGCTTAGTTCAGCTCTGACTATGCATAGAGAGTTACTTACAGTTTGGGAAATGTGTTAGTTTGATAGATGATTTGCAAATATTATTCTGTTGACACACAGACACAAAGTTCAAGGTGGCCTCAGTTAGTAAACAGGGATGGAAAATGTACCTCACACATTTACTCCATGCCTGAAAAACAAACCATTTAGAAGATGACATCTGGATTCACAAAAATTAACACAGCACTGTTCAGAGCCCATCAAAACATGGAGCCATGGTTTAGCGTCTAGTTGCTAAGCAACCTACTTCATACATTCAAAACACAGTTGTAAAAGTTGGATCTTCCTGCCAATTGCTGCTACTTCTCACTGAAAAACTAAACTGGAAAAATATCTTTCTTTGGGTTAAAAAACTAACTGTTTTCTAGGAGATGTGTTTCGTCTGCCTTTTCATTCTTCGGCTCATTGTCAAGTTTACATTCTAATATATGAATGGATTCATTTTGAACATTCAAATGCCATCAGATTAAAGTGGCATGTATCTTTCACTGAATGCGTAGAAATGCACATAGTGGGAAACTAACTATTAGCTAACCAAAATATCATCTTTTCCTAAGCCAAACATATCTCTGATTTGACCTTCATGATTTCAAAATCTAGGGCCAGATCCTGTGATTCATCCCCCAGTGATGCATTAAAGAAATCTGCACTGATTTACTCTGAGGATCTGACCATTGCTCAACTGTGTCAAAAATATGCACCAAATGACCTACAGCCTATGCTTTTTCTTACAACATATTTATTAAATAACAGTGCAAACTACTTTTCCATATGATGCCTATTGCCTAATGCATTACACCTATATTCTTACAGTAAGTAGTAAAATTGTAATGAGACCACAGGAACTATGAAATTTTACTCTCTTTCTTTGAAATGTTTATCTATAGCAAACATTTAGAGCCAGATTTTAGCACTGTTACTTATGTTCAAAGGAATTAGCTCTACACATGGAGTGAAGGTTTGTCTACAGATGAAGGGTTGCAATATTTTTGCTTTTGCCATGATGGGCCAGGAAACGACACAGGCAAAGGTCTTTAGTGATATCTTTTACTGAACCAACTGCATAACTAGGAAAGCTATAGGGCAAGTTTTCAGGCATCAGTTGTCCCAATACTTGTCCAACAGCTTTCCTAGCTACCCAGTTGGTCCAATAAAAGATGCCTACAAATGGAGTTACTTTACAATCCGCTTTGAATGTGGAGTAAGGTAATTAGGAATCCTTATTTTGGAATGAGTGTGTCCGCAAAAGGTGCTTTTTAGGAATAGCAATTGTCCATTAAATTCTGAATTAACTTGCAGGGGTAGGTAAGTCCTTAGCTATTTTTCAAGGAGGTCTGGTTTGGCATTCATTTCAAAGTTTAAGTCTACAATCTGCTATTCTTATTCAGTGGAACCTGGTCAAGCCCCACTGAAATGAATGACAGTGGCAACGGAAAGATTTTGACCCAGTGGTTAATAAACTAACCATAAAAAAATTACATTTATAGTAAAAAGCAGGAGGATTGTGACAGGATCTAGCTGTCCTTGTTGCCCAGCACCACCACTGTTACCATGGCCTTCCTTCCTTCAGATTATAATTGCTCAAGTGACTGTAAAAAATAAGAATTTACAGAGCTTTTAACAAAGATGATGGGTGAGATTAAACTGCTGCAGAAGTAGCCTGCAATGCAAGTACCGGATGACCAAAACACAGTCTAATGTTTCAAGTATTTAGAGCTATAAAAGTAAGCCAGGCTTCATTTTGCCCCTCCCCTCTGGAGCAACTCCTTCCACAAACCATGCAAAGCATCCTTTTTGGCAGGCTTCTACGCTGTAGCTGAGCAAGAGAAAACTCAAACGAACGGAAAGTCATGCAGTTACTCTTTTCTTTCTTAGAAAAAAACACAAAACCACCAAAAGGGATAGTCTTACAGAAGAACCTCATTGCATAAACTCTGCCACATGTCCACTGGAGAAATGCCCCTTAATGACCTCTGGCAATGCAATTAAGTAAGACACACAGATCTGCAAGTATAAGACTAGCATGATCAGGCCTGTAATTAATTAGGAGAACCCATTTTTCATGGGGTGGATAGGAAGGTAGCATGTCCCTCTCTACAAACCCAATGGACTTAGTTTTTGTGGCTTTGTTTTTCTGTTGTTTATATTTATGCCCTGTTCTTGAACCACAAGTGTTCTCACCTTCCAGCCTTAGCGACACTGGTCTTTCATGCTGGGGACACCACGTTAACTTACACCAGTTAAACAGCAAAGGCGTACGTTCTTTAAAATGTTCTCTACCATTTCAGTCAAATTTTCTAACCTCAGTGGGTCAAGTCCATTCCTAGATTAATTTGATTATTTACAGGGACTATCCACAAATGGTAGAAGCTCCACAGCAATTAAAAGGGATGTGTGAAACAACACTTTGAAAGGAAGCAATGTAATCACCCAAGGGGAGATATTAGATGGTTGCAGTCTGGTTCCTAGTGGCTATGTGTCTAGATCAAACAAGTTAACAGTATCCCTCAACACCGGCAGTCTCTAGACAGAGACTCCTGGGACCTGAATAACAGGGAGTGTTGTAGGTCAGGGGAAAGTGAAAGGACAGATGCCCTAAAGAAACTTGTGAAACACTTTAATGAAAGGAGCACCACTCATAACTTGGACAGGAGTCATCTGAAGAAGTCCCCATGATGGTGTTGGTGTTGTTGAAGCAACAGGTGTTGTGGTGAGTGTGGTGAGCCAGATGCGTGTGGTGTCTCATGCATCTCAGTTTTGGAGCCAGCCCTCCTTGCACCCCCTTCTCGCTTCCTCTCCTTATGGGTGGGAGTTGTGGGAGACACTTGAAACCACTGCATGTGAAAGGAAGCAGTGACATCTCCCAGGTGGAGATAAATGAGATGGTCTCAGTCTGCTCCTGAAGTGGGACATGGAGGGTCAGCACAGACCAGAAACACACATGCTGGGTAGGGGTAGACTGTGAAGGGCAGAAGGAAAGGGAAGACTGAAGACAGCAAGCACAGGGGGAAATGAAATGGGGCAACAGAGGAAGGAGAGGCAGTCGGGGTGGCAACTGACAGAGGGAAGGAGAGTGGCCCCTGCTGACCTACCTCCCTGGTGAAGAGGAGGGTGGCACCCATGGACCTACCTCCCTGGTGAAGAGGATGGCGGCATCGTAGTGCTCGTCATGGTCGTCCTCCAGCGGGTTGTGCTGGTGCTGCCACTTGCAGAAGTTCTTGAGCGTGGTGGCGGCATTCTTGGTGACCTCCAGCCCCTTGTCCTTCTCACCCAGCACCACCACCTTCACCACGGCCAGCCGGATGTGGTTCTCGATGCTGGCGTGCCCGTAGAGGCGTGAGGCGATGGTGGCCAGGGTCAGCAAGTAGTGCTGGAGGCCCTTGCCATATTTCTTGGCCATGGAGTCGTCGGCCACCAGGAGAAGCTCCACTTGGCGCGCCCGGGACACAGAGCGCCGCCTCCGGCCACCCCTCGCCCGCTCCGGGGCGGGCACGTCCCTGCTTTGCCTCTGCCCCTGAGGCGGGGGGTCGTGGGTCTCGCAGCTGGGGCGAGCGGGCAGCGCCTGGAAGCTGAAGCGGTCCCTGACGAAGAGGTGCGGGACCTGGGTCGCCCCGGGCGAGTAGGGGCGCTGGTGCCCTGTGCCCCGCGCCCCCAGCAGGGGCTTCACGGTGTAGCGGGCGTGCCCCACGGCGAAGTAGCCGGCCAGGCCCCCGCACACGTCGAAGACGGCCAGGGAGCGGGGGCTGCGGTCCACCGTGCCGCGGTAGGAGCAGCGCGCCCGCGGCCCCGGCGCCTCGTCCCGCTCCAGGTCCAGCAGGAAGCGCCGCCCGGCCGCCTGCAGGCTGTAGCCCGCGCGCCCGCCC